CCTCCTTTCTTCTTCTTCTTCTTCTTCTTCTTCTTCTTCTTCTTCTTCTTCTTCTTCTTCTTCTTCTTCTTCTTCTTCTTCTTCTTCTTCTTCTTCTTCTCCTTTTTCCCCCTTCCTCTTTCCTTCCTTCCCTCTGATTGGAAAAAAGCTAGAAAAAAGGGAGAAAAAACAAAAAAGACCACCTCCTTTCTTGTTCCTGGCAAAAAGCTCTTTCCCCTCCTTCAAAACCACACCACAGCACATGCAAAATTATTCAAACATAAAACTAAGTACATCCATCAAAGTATAATAAACAGCTCTGCTGCAGTTTCCCGGCCAGCCACTAGAGGTCTCTAGTTGCTCATAAAAGAGGTGATGGTTATTCTAGAAGATTTCAGCCTGCTGGTGAAAAGTTCCAATCAGCCACAAGAGGTCCTCAGTGTACTCAAAAAGTCTCAGTTCTAGCCGTATAGTCTCCTTATCAAGCGAGGCGTAGAACAATACCCAAAAACAGACAGACGCAAGCCCAAGTCTTCATGTTAAAATGGGTGACTAAAAACGTCAAAAACCATTTTATCACCTTTTATAATCCAAATGGGTTTTTATAATCCAAGTGTGTCGCTCTATGTGTCTCTTAAGTGGCAATCTCTGCTAGTCTGACTGTGTCCGGTAAGAAAAAATGGAGTTTCTCAGTCCTCTTTCACTTTCGACGCTCTCCAGATGACACTAATATATCATCAAACATATTAAACTGTCTCAAAGTGATTCATTATTGCCACCTCTGAGCTGTATAATTACTCTTCGTGGGAGTTAATGGGCAGGGTTTGTAGGATTCTGCAAGTCTGTTTACATTAACCCCATCAGATTCCCCCACAGACTGTCAAGCAGCAGAGTTTCTCAGTCCTCTTTCACTTTCGACGCTCTCCAGATGACACTAATATATCATCAAACATATTAAACTGTCTCAAAGTGATTCATTATTGCCACCTCTGAGCTGTATAATTACTCTTCGTGGGAGTTAATGGGCAGGGTTTGTAGGATTCTGCAAGTCTGTTTACATTAACCCCATCAGATTCCCCCACAGACTGTCAACAGACATTCCAGTCCACTCCTAACATCCGAAAAATTCCTTTCCTTTAAATAAAAATCTTCCGTCACTTGCCGTCTGGAGTTCTTTTGTTTTCTCAAAAGATCTTAGCTTTTAAGCTGCTTCCTCACTCCCCCTTTCTTAATATGAGACAGCCTCTGTGGAAACGTAAAACAGGTACGAATGTGGTTTCAAGCTTAACTAGCCTCCCGGTTATAAATGTCTCTCGCATTCAGCTATAAATCATTGGGTCATTTACTTTCCAGTTTCAATAACTATTTCAGAGTTCTTCAAAGGTCTGATCCCTGCGTCCTCCTGGCGGAGCAGTACAACTGCAGCAACATCCAAAGATGGCGTCCGAGGTGTCCTTCTGTCTTGGGAAGAGAAACCTCTAGGGGAGAAGTTGCTCTCTGCTCCCCCAGATTTCTCTCAGCTCCCTGAGACCTGAGGTGACCTTCTCCTAGGTCTCCCCCCTAATAAGAGATTAGGGGTGCCTGGACCCCTCGGCATACAGCAGGAAGTTCTGGAGCCCCAGGTCCCTGCTGCCTTGCTGTTTCTAGCTCCGCCCCAACCTATCCGATTCTGATCGAACTGGTTGCTGAACATCAAGGTCCATGGCTTTGGACTACCAGCGAGTATGAAAAGAAATCCTGAGATGGAGATGGAGGATTAGTATCAGCGATGTCAGAATCGGGGGTTGGCAAATTAGGGGGTGATTCTTGCAGTGTCACTGAATCTGAAGTGTCAGAATCGGAAAACTGTACAGGTGACAATGAGGAGGCTTGTCAGTATGAGGAGGCCGATGCGTCAGGAGGAGCCTCTGCAAGTGGTGTCTGGATATTGTAGTACCATGCTTTGAGGTTAGCGTGATGTGAGGCATTTGTGGGCCTTGGTAGTATCTATGGGTACGGGTGAAGGCCCAATATAAGTCGTGGTAACTTGTAAAGAGGATGAGCGAACCTGCGAGAGTATAGCCAATTCGGCAGACGGCAAGGAAACCATAGTCAATGGTCTTGGTTTCTTTGGTGCCAAAGACAGCTGAACTACATTAGATTGAGTATGGTGCCATTTACAAGATTTGTGTGGTTTTGGTATCAGAGGAGGCAGAGAATGAATGATATTGTCCTCAGATGACTGGTCGTAGACATGCCTCGGATGGTATCGAGAAGGACATGGAGAGTCCGAAGAACCAGAAGGATAGTAATACGCGTTTTGAAGATGCTTGAGTTCAATATATTGCCCAGTATTGGGCTGCCAGTATCAGTATGAGCGATGTCGATACTGCTTGGCTGGAGGTTCATAATAAACAGGAGGCTCATAGACACTGACTCATTTGGGCTGATGGTGTCGAGCCCGGGAGTCAAGCGATACCGACAGTCCTGAATGTATCGGAGGCTGTGAACATTTGGCATCGGACCGGCCCGTATCCAGTGCATGGTGGTGTTTCACCTTCCGCTTATGCGGAGGTAACAGATCAGCAGGGATAGATGTTGAATCCAACTCACACACGGAGACAGAGCAACCCATAGACTTAGGCCTTGAACAAGCCGAATACGGGAGTACCATCAGTTCAGCTGAGGTATTTGCCCATGATGGAGACTGGGCCAAAAGAAGAGAGGGCAGTTGGCCAGATGGAGGCGGGATGGAATCACGGTCGGAATCAAGATCTATGGCAGGTTAGTCCTGGGTAGAGTTGTTGAGCAGGAGCAATCATGAGAATCATTAGAAGTCTTTTTCAGTTTCTTAGGTTTGGAACGGTCCGATTTCAAAATATTGTATTTTTCGCTCCATAAGACGCACCTCTCCATAAGATGCACCAAATTTTTAGAAGAAAACAGGAAAAAAATAATGTTTTCTTCTCCTAAAAATTGGTGAGCCTTATGGAGAGGTCTGTCTTATGGAACACACCCTAGGACCCTTTGGAGGCT